CATATTTGTCATTTAACGAACTGCTATTATTCTGCCGTACGTTTTTAAATGAAATTCCTCTTAAATATGTTTAAATGCAAATTATGTGAAAGACATTTTAAGAATAAAATGGTAATTACTTGGTTTAACAAGACAATTGTGAACGTGAGTTTTTTCTTTTTTTTATAATTTTTTTTAAAATTATATAGACAAAGAATGTAATATAAAATTTAAGTTTCAAAATACTCTACAATTTCAACATTTTAACAAAAGAAGTTAATATAATATTAATTTACTAAAGTTTTAAACTGATATATTCACTGCAAACTTGTGTTTCAAATAATTTATTTATTAAAAAAGAGTCACCTACATTACTTAAAAACATTAACTTAAAAATGTATATCGCAAAAATATTTTTATAAATTTATAATTGATCTCTCGGAATCTTGGATCGTTTTATTAGCTTCGGAATTGGCGACAAAATCCTTTTACCAAGTTTTCCTAAACTTTCAACAATAAACATTAAGTATTCATACCATAATACCACTGTACCTCTTTTATATCGTGAAATCTGTATTAAACAATTAAAGTGAATTTTTCAAAATTTTTAAAAATAATAAAAAACAAAAAAAAAAAAGAAACTTACCGCGAAGAACGTCTGCTGGAATGAGTCTTCTAAACGTTTTAGGACGTTCTTCTTCCTTCTTCTCCTCGGCAGCGAAAACGATCGCTATGACAAGCAACAGGATCGGGAGGAACTTCATGATCTTGAAGATGACACGGGAGAGATAGAAAGAGAAAGAGAGAGGAAGGAAGAACAGACCCAATGTACCTCTAAAGAGGAGAGAGAAAAAAAAAAGGATCTTCGTATACTGATTAAGACTGGTTGGGTCCGATTCCCGTGCCGGCATTTTATAGCTGTTCATGGGGCGGGGTCCTATTGTCCCCACCAAACATTTATGGTCTCTCACCTCTTGAACCACCAGTCACCAAAGGATCGTTCACGTCCCCCGATGCTCGATCGTATGAGCTCCTCGTTCACCAACGGTGGACGCGCATGTACACCTGAACGGTACATAGAGTATGAGACGATATAGGGTATATACATATTGCTCTCTCACACTGTCGAAAGATGCAAATGGAATCAAATCCACGACCAATGCATTCCACTTGAGAGTGATACATATGACAAACTGGGTTACCATTCAGTTTACGGATCTTTCTTCTTCTTCTTTTTCTTTTTTTCTTTTTCATTTTTGTCGATCTGAATTTCTTGAATCGCTGTTTTTATTATCGCTTATTAGCGATGATCGAAAAATTGATTCAATTAATTATTCAATTAATGTAATTATTTAATTATAAAATGTTACAAGATAATTATCTATACTCTCTTAATTAGAGGTTTTATATGATTTGTATCTCTATGAGAAAATAAAGATTGTTTTAATAGATACGTGGGATATATTAGTTAATTGTGAATCTTTCACTGGTATAAATATTATGAAGAAATAATAATGTATGTAATACATTAAAAATAATTACTTTAGCAAGTAATAACTATCCCAGAATTGAGAATTGAAAAGAAATACAAATGTTTTATACTGGTATTACTTTTAAATTTAAAAGTAATTTTAATGATAAATTTATTTCTATTATAACAAATTAGATCCTAAGTAAATTTTATTCGTAATATCTTGCAAAATATATAGGTACTTTTTCGAGTTAAATGAAATTTCCAAAATTAAAAAATTAATCAAAGGTTTTTTTAAAAATAAAATTTCATCTTATGCAGTTACATTTAACTTGATTTTAAACACAAATTTCATACTATTGGTATAGCTTACTCTTTCTTTTTATATACATATATTTATATACTTTTAAAATAATTATACGTAATAATTGTAATCATAGATTTATTATTTTATATGGAACTGATAATAACACATAATATTATAACTTTGTTATCGATGAAAGCGATAAATATAAGTATTTTATTTTTTTGACAAATTTAATTTGTTAATATCAAAATTGAATATATGTATTGTAACGGTAAATTTTATTGGTACATTTTAAGAATCAATTTTTTCAAAATCGAAGATTTATTTAAGAAAATTTTATTTTTTACGTTCTATTATTTTCTTTTTAGCCAGAATTATATCTTATTCCATGATATTATACTTTGCAGTACACCCAGTACAAATTTTCGTGATCATATATAATACATATATGTATCATATTTAATTTATGTGTATTAATTTTAGAATAACAACAAAGGAAACTAACGATTTATTCGTTATCATATGTCACGAAATCATTGTATTCGAAGAAAAGAAGCTGGGTAAGTTTATCGTTCTTCCACGCATGTTGCCGATGCTTGGAGGTTGAAACGGTCGAATCTTTCATAAAACACTGCTTACCACATCGCGACTATGCCATTAGAAAAACTTGTAAAAGCGTATCGCGTATAGTCAATGTGGTAATTGTCTAGCAATTGAGATGTACGTGTGCCTATTTCGTTGGCAATATTTTTGTGCTTGTTAATTTAACTTTGTAACAACTTTCGCTGTTTCATTAAAGCATCTCATATTCGATTAATGGAACGACGTTCTCGTCAGAGAACCACTGTCGCGTAGAAGAATATAATATAATAATAGGTCATAGAGAGTTTCTTCCGGACCATTTAAGGCAACGAGTAGGAAGGAATCGAGACTAGGTATCTTATGGTTAATAAGTTTACGTAATGCAGTGCAAAAGTTACGATCGAATTTATAAGAAAGACGAATTATAAATAATACGATTTCTTAAAGTTTACCAATTGCTATTGAATTTAATTATTGAATTTAACCATCGAGTGAATTTATTCGTGATCACATTTTATCAATCTCTAATTAACAAAATGAAATTTTGCCAACACGATAGCGATGTGAAATGGCGTGATACCACGGGAGGAAAGTAAAGAAGAAAGGGAAAGTTGCTCGCTAACATCGTTCTTCCAAGTGAAGAGACTGTAACCTTCTGAATCATCGATCTCGAAACAAGTTTGTGATATTTCGAGATTAGAGATTATTTCGTACCACGAACGTTTCTTTTATAAACGAGTTTTACCAACATATATATTCATATTAGTATTTATTACTAATAACGATATACTCGAATAATTTTATATACCCGTACATTCATTTCTCCGGTAAATAATTTTCGACGATCCAATTAAGAATATTATCATCAGATTTCAACAACATTGTCCCAACGTATATGTTTGACATTTATTTTATTTCCACATGACGAATCGCCAACAATGGAAGGACAAAGAGAAAGAGAAAGGTATATGTGTGCCAGGAAGTATATATAGTAAAACATGTGCTGATTTGCTACAACAGTTTAATAATGTCATCCGTACAATTTCGATTCGCATTTAGTAAACGTATCTTTAATCATCTCTCGTATGCACGTATTATCCTCTCTACTCAACAATATGCTCCGTTTTAAAGATGTTTAAAGATTTCTTTCGAGAAATTGTTTCCGTCGGCCTCGTTACTTCGCGCTCTTTTATTTCGCCACCGGCTCCCATTCTTCGTTCGACGCTTTCCATTCTTCTTTCGTCGACGTTTGCCACTCTTCCTTCTTCACAGGAACCCGTTTCCATTGCGGTGGTTTCAGCTCTCCCGCTAACGAGCCAGCTTCGGCCGCTGCCTCCGAGGTCGCGGCTGCGGCCGCTGCAGCGGCTCGCGATTCCGCCGCGGCGGAGGCGGCAGCTTGCGAAACACCGGCGGTGTTCTCCGCTTGCGCCGAGGCCTCCTCTTCCGCCTTGGCGATGGCGTTCACGGCTGCGGCACGGGCAGCGGCTGCGTCTGCTACAGCTCTTGCCTTTGCAGCTGCCACGGCGGCAGCTGCTGCGTCTGCTTCCGCTTTCACCGCTATCTCAGAGACCTTAAGAGCGATTTCCGCTGCCTTGGCGGCGGCGGCCGTCTTGGCCTGCGCTTCGGCCGCTGCCGCGCTCTCAGCTTGCGCCAATTCGTTCGCTTTTTCCGACGAGAGGGCCGCGCGAGCGCTCGCCGATGCGAGGTTTCTCGCCAGGGATTCGGCCTTTTCCGCGGCAGCCTTGGCGGCAGCCACGGCCGCCTCGGCCTCTTCCGCCGATTCTTCGGTCGCCAGGCTGGCCTTCAGCGCGCCCGAGGAGGCGGTGGCCGCTCTCGCCTGCGCTGCAGTCGCGCCGACAACTAGAGCAGCAACCTTGTTGGCAAGCTCGCTCGCGCTTATGGCGGCGTTCGCTGCCGTTTTGGATTGCAAGGCGGCCACGGCCTGAGATTCTGCTGCTGCCTGCCCTACCCCAAGACTTATCGCGATTGCTTCACCGGTGCTAGATGCCACCTCGGATGCTCCGGTTCCCACTCTTCTTCCAATGATGGGCTCGCTCGTTAATTTAAGTTCATCCTTAGCGGGAACCACGACTTCCACTTTCTCGCTTTTCACCGCCGTCGAGGCCTTGGTCTTCTCCCGTGCCTCCACCTCTTCGCTTGCGCCGCTTGCCAAACCCCAGATCAGCAGGGAAACCGCGAGTATGGATGGGATCTTCATCTTCGAGGCTGCTTCGCAAAATTGATGCCGACTCAGGCGGGATTTCCTCGTTTTATACCGAAGTTGACAATTGTGAAAACATTATTACTTATGTTATTACTTGTAAATGTTGTTGCACGGATACTCAAATATATAACCTTATCTTTTTGTTATCGATATTTTTATATAAGGAAATCTGGGTTTATTTAGGTGGACCCCAGTCTGGAATATAATATTTGTTTCTTCTTTGAGGTGATTATTTATTATTCGCGTAATTCGCGCGATTTTGGTAAAGAAAATTTATTATTTCAGAAGTAATTTTGAAAATTGTTTTGAAACTGATTTTTCGAATATGGTAATGAGATTCAAGTTTTGTCGGTAATTTTAACTTGATTGCAGTTATAGATATTTATGATTTATGTATTTAAATTGTATTTAAAATGTATCAAATTTTGAAAAATATTGCAGGGACTTGAATGTTAAAAATTAAAATATTTATTACAGAATTAAATATTCGTTATGCGTGTTGATTAATTTTAATCGTAGATGTAGTTTAATTATTTAAAGATATTCCATCCTTCCTCTTAATTAAAAGTAATTTTCTATATTTATCGTAATTATTTTACATGTTTTTTTATCTTTTATATCTTTTATCTTAAATAAAAAAGACTATTATTTTTAAAGACATCGCGTTCCCTATAAATACAGATTACTTGAATCGTTCGATTATTTTATTATTAATCTTATGATAGTTTTAATATTTAATTTTGACATATTTAATTAAAATATTAACGTTACACTTATATTATTGTATTAATATTAATATTGTACTTATGTTCGTATATATTCAGAATCGAAAGTGGAAAGCAGAACAGTATAATCTTATAAGAAATCATTCAAGAAATAATAATGATAATAATAGATTTATTTAATAATAATAATACACATATTTAACGCATGCATCATATAATTGTTATTTAAATATTGATTTTGATAATATTATAATCTAACTTATTATTTAATTTCCTGTATTCGTTTGCAAACGACAATTCAATATTTATTGATCAAATTAAATATAAATGATCAAATAATTAGATATTGATTTTAGAATAAAAAGAAATTGTCATATATACAAATTGAAAATTTATATATATTTTATAATAAAAATGAAATAATTTTAATATATATTTATACGCTTTCTAATTATTACAAATTTTCATTATATTTATTCATTGTAACTTTCACTGGTATAAATCATTCAATGTATACATATGAATCATACATATTATGAAATTATAAATTCTTACATATCAAGATAAATGTAGAGTAGTATTAGAATCATCAGTAATTTTGAAATTGAATCAATTTTTATATGAAAAGAATAAAAAGTATAACAGAAATAGAAACAGAATTAAAAACAGAAATACCAATAAATAGCATACGTGTATTATTAACACGTTTCTTAAATTTTCAACTGTTGATAACATAAATTTCTCTAACCATTTTAAATATCTTAAAAACTTATCTTAAAATCAAAGGATAAAAATTAATAATCGTTGAAGATAAAAAGAAAAGGATTCGTGGAAAAGAAAATAGGACGCAATGAAATCATCAAGAAAAGACATATTTGCTAAAATAGTGGATCTTTATTATCACGTAGATAAGATCGTTTCGACAATGTTTTACTTTTAATTTTAATCGGCCCCGTCCTCAGCCAGTTCTCTAATCATATCCAAACAATCAACTCCTACTCTTCCCAATCAAAATTCTCAAATGGCCTAGGAAAGATTTCCATTCAAGTCCCTATCAAATGCCCCCTTCAAAATTTTTTATCCTCAATATTTTCGGATTTCGAGCTAACTTCGGCCAATGCCTTCGCTTGTGCGAGCAACTGAGCCGCGGCACCCGCGTCCTGTCCAAGCCCTAAAATCGCTCCATCCCCGACAGCTGCGGCCACGTTGGCTCTCGCCGCGGCGGAAGCTTCCAGTTGAGCGGCCTGCGAATCCTCGGAGGCCGTGTTGGCGGACCCTTCGGCGGCTGCCACACCTTCGATCTTCGCAGCTGATTGCGCCTCGGTAGATGCCGACCTTTCGGCACCATCCGCGTCAGATGCTATCGCGGCCGCCTTTTTGGCGGCGGCGGTGGCGGCCTCCGAGGAGGCAGTGGTCTTCGTTTCTGCGGCAGTTGCAGCGGCGGAAACTTCCAGGGCAACGTTGGCACTCCATTTGGTCTGTTCGGCGTTCTGTAATTCCCTGAGGGTAGCAGCCGCTTCAGCCGCGGCCTTGGTGCTGACTCGTTTCTGCAAATCGCTGGCTACGTTTTGGGCGGCCGTTGCTATCCTGGAGGAGACTTGAGCGCGTTCCACTGCCGACTGTGTCGCGGCGGCTGCTGCGTTCGCACGGGCAGAAGCTGCCTCTTCCTCGGACTGAGCTTTCAACGCGGCCAAAGCCTTCTCCTGGGCGACTAATTGCGCTTGTTGCGCATTTTTCAGGGCGGCAACTGCCTTGGCCGAGGCGGCGGCTGACAATGCAGACGCTCGCAAATAGGCCTCTGCAAGAGCCAGAGCGGACGCTTTCACTACGGCTGATGCTTTGGCGTCCGCGCCCGCCAACGACTTGATCTTCTCCAGGGATTTGAATACATTCTTGCCGAGCACCGGGGCGCCGTTCTCTCTTCGTTTCGCGCTAGTGTCCACATTTTTCAACAGGTCGACTTCTAAATTCTTGCCGATCACCTCCTCGGTTGCCGAGGACTTGAATTCCTCGACGCCTGCGTGCACCAAGCCCGATGTGAGCAATGAGCATATGACGAGAAACGTTGGGATCTGCATGGTCGACGGAACTTTGTCGATTGATGCCGTTCCTTCCCGCCCGCGTACGTTATATACAGGGGGTTGCAGTTGTGTAAATAGTTGCAGAGAAATATTGTCGCGAGTGGCCCGATTCTTTTTGTTTTTCTTGCTTTGATTAAGTTCGTATCTTAATATTTTTGACCAATTTAATAGTGTTTACAGGTGTGCAATTGTATTCGAGGGAAGAGAAAAGTGTAATTTTGTTGCTTCAGTAGAGTTTTGTTTGAAGATGAATATTTGTTGGAACAATACGAAAATGTGATTCGTTGTTGATATTATTTTTCGAATTATTTATGAATTTTTTACTTATGAATTTAGATTTTATTTATGAATGATGCAAAGATTTTTAACGGAGATATACTATACGAGATAATATATATTTCGCGTATCGTATGGAATTCACGATTTTTTGAAATCTAATCTATTTTTATCAATTTCAAAATTTTGGATTACAAATTTTGGGTTCTATATTAAAATAAATTATAATATTAATATTAATATTTGAAATATTACAATCAGTATTTTAAATTTATTATAGTATTTTATACATATCAACAATTAACATTTTAAGATACATATACATGTATTTATATATTATATAACATATATTTTATTTCAAAAAACGTATCAAGAATAAAAATATTAATTAATGAAAATTCAATATCTATAGAAGGATTTCGGTGTATTAAATAACGTATAATATTTTTTTATTTAATATTTAAACATTTTATTATTTTATGCCATCGAAACAATAATATATTACAAATGAAATTTCAGATCCAATATAAAACGCAAGATCAAACATATTTTAATACACATTCATGTAATTTTGTTTGAAAATAAATATATTTGACAAAATGGAAAAAAATAAGTACATCTATTATTTAATATAAAATTTGAGAAAAGGAAATTTTTCCAATAACTAAACAGACTAAAATATAATTGCCTTTATATGACTAATAATTAATATATAAAATTAATATATCGTTTAAATTTAATATATAATATTTTAATTATCGTTTAAATTTTTCTTATAAGATTAAATTTATTCTATACTCTATGTAGAACTTCGTTTAAGCTCTTTCGTCATAGCTATTTATTAATTTTTTCCAAACAATGCGAATCAAAAGATAAAGAATCTAATGGTTTCATTACAATATTCATTTCAATATGGAACAAACGAAAAAGGATAAGAATATAGGAGGAATGTATTGTTAGAAAAACATTCATCAAAATTCGGGTTGCTACGACAATTTATTTTCACTAAAATATTACACGAACGAATCTCAATTGTGTTAATCATTATCTCTCTTCATATAATATCCGTCAATAATCATCGCGTTTAAATCAAATTATCAAGGTAATCGCGTTTGACAATGATCTTCCGCCTCTTGTTCTGCCAACTCTGCTTCAACTTAATTTATCCATCATTCTCTGTCTCCTCTTTATTCCAACTTTTCCACGCGTATCTTCTTCTCGTCGACGATTTTTTTTGCTAGGGAGGCGGCTTTGTTCGCAGCCTCAGCCTCCGCAGCTGCGACAGCTTCTGCCGTAACCAAAAGAGTTTCGGCAGCTGCTACAGCGGCTGCTTCGGCGTTCGCTGCTTGAGAATCTACCCTGACAGCCGAGGAAGCTTGAGTCGAGGCGGTTGCTTGTGCATTCCTAGCCTGGTTCACGGCGACTTCAGCGTTTGTTAGCGCCACCGTTGCTTCGGCCGCGAGTTTCGTGGCCTCGGATTCCGCGGCAGCCGCTACTTGAGCCTTAGCCAAAAAGTTCGCTGCTGATTTCCTGGCAATTGCCGCCTTAGCTTGAGCTTCCGCCGCAGCTTGCGCCTCGGCAATCGCAGCCCTCTTCGTGACGATCGAATCGGCGTTAGCCTTTACCTGGGCCTCTGTGGCAGCTTCAGCAGCGGCTGCAGAAGCTCTGGTTGCTTCCTTCGCCGCAGCCGTCAATTGTGCTGCCCTCTTCGTTGCCGATACAGTCGCCTCTGCCGCCTTTGCTGCATTGGTCAACAACTGACTTGCTATCTCGCTGGCTTTAATCGCTTCTTCCCGTTTGGCAATAGCAGCGGCCAGAGCGGCGTTTGCTCCTGCTTCCGCAGCTTCTGTGTTTTTGGCCTGGGCAGCAGCGGCAACACTGGCAGCGCGTGCGCCTGCGTTCAATTCTAGATTCAGGCCCACGTTCTCAGACGCTCGAGCGACTTGTAGTGCGTTCTCTATGGAGGAGCCATTCGCGTCAGATCCATCGCCGACCTCTCCTGCTGCTCCTTGAATCTCCACGTTCGTCTTCAGGGATTCGCGATTAATCACGCGGCCCTCGGCCAATCCCCAGACCAGCAGAGACGTGACGAATATTGCTGGAATCTTCATGTTCGACGCAGCTTTCCTGATTGATGCCGATTCGTAAAATCATTCACGGTTATATAGTAGATGATGAGACAATTGTGAAAACAGCAGGTGTTTTGAATGAAAATTGATACGCTACGCCATCTTAAAATATTGTTTTAAGCAATCTTAAGAAGTTCGGGGAGGGAGAAGCTTTATAGGATTTCTTTTTATCGAACTGCGTTTATTTAGGTGCGACGATTGGTTATGGTTAAATATTTTGCTTTTGTTACGTGTCTTAAAATTTCTTTCGAAAAAAATGTGTAATTCTAAATTGAATTAATCTTCCAATTTGATTTAAGAAAGAAATGAATTAATATGATTGCAATAAGTTAATACAAATTTACAAATCTTTCTTTTTTTATTCATTTTTAACATCTATCTATATTTTTATGAACATATACATTTACAAAGTAATTCAAATAAAATGTAACTTATTTTTTATTCTTTAAATATTATCGTAATTCCTTTTTATATCGTAAATATATCTTTGAATTTTATTGCTCAATTATTCAAAAATTAAACTTATTCAATTATTCAAATTAATTATTTTTATTATATACGAATTTAGTTAAACATTATAAGGCTGAATTAGTAAAAAGTAAGTTTTTGTAAATAAAATTATGGACAAATTAACAATATGAAGAATATCTTCATTTCTTAACATTATTTTAACAATTGGCTATATCAAGAATTACTTATTATTTTTAGATATTGAATCAGATGTGTTAATATTAATATTACTAATAATTTCATATAATGAATTTAAACATATAACAAAATATTTGTAATAATATTGAAAAAAAAGATTGCAAATAAAAATTAAAATTAAAGTAAATATTGATGGATTCTGATAATATTTCATATAAAATTTTAAATTATGGAAAGAAATTTATTTTCAAAATATTTGCTTATATTAACTTTATTATATATCATTACGATTTTATAAACAAAATATAATAATAATGTATGCTATAATCATTCTCATAAGATTTTTTTTTTTTTTACTATTTCATGAAATAATAACGTACTTCATACGTTTTTCATCTGTTTTTTTAATATTATCAGAGAATTATGAATTTCATTTTTTTTTATTGATTTTTAAATTTCTAATATTACCAAAAATATATAAAAAAAGTATATAATACAAATTGTTTCATTTTTATTGTTTCATTGATAGATATCCATATATGGATATTATATATGGATATATATGATAAATTAATTTTATTTTAATCGAAGAAGAAAAAAAAATGTAATTTTTTACGTGTGAAATTTTTTTAAATGTATTTTATTTAAATACGTCAAACATGATTGCAAGATTAGTCAATACATTTTTAATATAAATTTCATAATACGAAATTCAAAAATGAAAAATAAAAAATTAATTTAATTTTCCAGTTTCCCTTGAACTTCTATTGAATCTTCTATTTTGAAAGAATTTTAGAAAGGCAAAGAACAACATCAAAAGACTACATATATGCTAAACCAATTTATTTTCATCATTACAATCTCTGTCTGACTATAGACAACATTTGCACATGTATTTTCTCCGGAAGCATTTACAAATACATCCTATAACGGCCGAACATTACTCTCAAACGAATCGCTTTTCCCGATATTTTATCCAGTTCTTTCTAAAATACGAAGCCGTTCAGATTTACATCCTCCTTCTTACTTTCGTAATCTCTTCATCCTCTCCCCATGACGTTGACAGTTCCGGCTCCGGAAGTTTCTTATTCCACTGGAATTGATACGACTTGTTTCGAAGAGTCGATGTTAGCCCCGATCGTCGCTGTCTCTACGTTCCTGGAGCTTGCCTTGGCAGCGGCACGCGCATTAAGCGACGTGGCCGCGTCGATTTCCCTACTCTTTTTATCAATCTCGGCGATCAATACAGCTACTTCGCTCCTGGCCTCGGATTCCGCGGCGTTTCTCGCGCTGGCCACGGCTGCTTCCTTCGAGGAGGCTAGAGCGGCCGCAGCAGCCCTTGCAGCAGCCTTTGCAGAAGCCACTCTTGCGATGGCTTCTTCGGCCACTTTCTCGGCCTTGAGGGCTGCTTCCGCGGCTGCATTGGCCGCAGCCGCCAAGTTGGCTGCGGCAATCGCCTTGGCCTTGGCTTCCTCCGAGGCAATAGCTTCAGCCTTGGCTGCTCTCTCGGCTATTTTCGCTTGCACCGTGGCTGTGGATAGGGCGGATGCTGCGGATCTGGCGGCGGTTGATGCTTCTTTGGCAGCAGAAGTGGCCGATGCGGCGATGGATACCGACTCGAGGCCAGCTCTAGCTTGGCCAACCGCTGCCTCCTCGGTTTCCTTCCCTTTGGCGGCAGCCTGCGATTGCAGTGACGCCGATTCTTGGCTAAGTTTAGCCGTCAGATCGGCGGCAGCGCGTGCCTCTGACGCGGCGGATGCAGCAGCTTCCGCTTGGAGTACGGCATCCTTCTGTGAAGCTAAAGCTACCTGTCCGGCTCGAAGTCCCGATCTAGCAGTCACAGCAGTCGACGCGGTGGCCGATGCGCTACCCTTCACGAGCTCGGGCAATGAGTTACCCGGCCTTTCCAAACCGGCGGACGCAAATCCGCAAAGGTAGAGGCACGTTGCGAGCAATACTGGAATCTTCATGTTTGACGACGCTTCGCGAATTGATACCAGGTGTGAGACGCTGGACGGATTTATAGCGGCGTTGACAGTTGTGAAAATAATTAATGGGGTCTGGTCTGATTAAGCGTGATTGAAAATATTGTTTCAGGTCGCACTTTGCAAGCGATGATTTCGATGATATTTAGCTCGGAGGTGGATGTGTTTAATTAAATGCTGTTATCGAGAATGGACAGAATTGTTGATCAATTTTTGAAACGCTAGTTTTAATGCGATGAGGAGAATGAATAATGAATATTTAAGAAACTTGAAGATAAAATTCTGATTTTAAATATTTATGTTTTTAGTTTCCTTGGACTGTTTTCGTGAATGTTATTTTTTTGTACATTTTTTTTTTATTCAATGCAACAAAATCGATAATCAACCGATACTTTTTTTATTTGTCGTGTAAAATTGTTATCACATAAGTAATATTGAAATATATTTAAATATTATAAAATCAAATAAAATTTACATAAAAATTTGCTTAATGTAATTATATGATGTATATTTTAATAATTCTAACTTTTTAAACTTTTTATTTAAAATTTTGAATAGATATTTATTTTTTACTTTTGTTTACATTAAATAATAATGTTTTTGCATTTATATTCAATTTACATAAATAATTTATATAATTTTACATTTTTTTTCGTGAAGTATATAAAAATTTAAAAATCATCAAATTTTACATATTATATGTATTAAATTTTATCATAAAAAAAAATTTTATTATCTTATCAATTTTGAAATAAAATATATTCTGGTACAGATAGTGATGTAATAAACATTTAATATGAAAGAAAGTTGCTGTATATTCGTAACAATATAATTCTTTATTCATATAAGAATCAATTTAAAAAAGTTATACTCATGTTATATATATTTTAAATTTCATTTCATTCTTTCACGCAAGAAAATTCTTATGTATTCGTATAAAGAATAGCATAAAAGTTTTCAAATAAAATAAATTATATCAACTTTAACTGAGATATATATACTTTATTGATAAAATATCGTGATATGTACATTATCAAATATATACAATAATTGAAATTTTTTAATTTTTATTTATATCTAATATTTTCGTTTTATTATTTTCTTTTTATTTAGCAATATTTTGCAATTTTTATTATAATTTGTTAACATGTTAATTCAGAAGGATTTAAGGGAAGTGAAGTAATAAAAAACAATCTCCTCAATGCTACGTGACATTATATTTATAATTCTTCACATTTCTTATCTAAAAAAAATCAAAACATCGCCTTTCCTCATTTTATATCTACGATTTTCAAAATAATTTTTTTATAACCTCCTCCTATTTTCTCTTCTCACTTGTCCCGATTCTCAACCACTTTCTTCAATGCTTCTGCTTGTTGCGCGTTAAGTTCAGTCGCAGACGATCCCAATCCAATAACAACTCCATTCCTCACGGCTTGAATTGGATTCGCACGAGCAGCAACTGCCGCCTCGATGGTGGAACCTTCAACATCCATTACCGCCATTGCGGCTGTTTCCTCTCTAGCCGCCGCATTCGTTTCCACCAACGCCGTCTCCGCTTTTGAAATCATACTTTCCTGTAGGCTGGCCACATTATCGGCAAAATTCCGATTGTTTATCTGTAAACGCGCTAAATTATTAGTGGAAGTGATAGCAGCCGCAGCCGCTTTACCAGCCGCTTCTATAGATGCTTTCGTCCTCTTAATCGCATTCTCAAGTATTGCGGCTCTATATTTCGCATAATCGATAGTAGCCCCTTCTGCAGCAGCTGCTTTCACCGCCTGATTGGTTATAGCAAGCGCTTCAGCTTGCAAATCTGCTGCAGCTTTCGAGGAAATTGTAGCTTGCTCGATCGCGACGCTTAGAGCGTTAGCCAAGGCTTTAGCATTGCTGGAAACAATTGACTGAATAAGAGTAGCTTTTTGAGCGGCTAAAGCCTTCGTGGCGGCATTCGCTCGAGCCATGGCCGCAACTCTGATTGCCTTCGCAGCTTCCCTGGCGGCCACACTCGCGGCTAACGAAGCTTCCGCCGAAAGCTTCGCTTTTTCCTTTACTTCTTTGGTAATCGCAATTTCCTTTTCAAACTTTGCTCGAGCGTCGAGTATCTTTATAATTTTCGATTGTAGCCGAGAACGAGCTTCTTTCTCCACCTTTGCCTTCGCTTCCGCCTGCGCAGCCTCCTCGGAATTAGCCTTCGCTATTGCTCGAGCTGCAGCCAAAGCTTTGGATTCGGACGCCACCAAAACTTCCGCCTTTGCTCGAGCTTCTGCTTCCTTCTCAGCCTTCAGCTGTGCTTCCCTAAGGGCCTTTAACTGAAGCTTCAATTGCCGCCGAAGTTCTGCCGCTTCTGCTTCAGTTTTCGCTCGTGCTTCCACTTCCGTTTTAATTTTAGCTTCTGCCTTTATTTTTTCTTCTTTAAGCAATTGAATTTCCTCGTTGGAGGAAATACTCTTCGATTCGTTTACTCCGCTTGTCCAGCTCCATGTTTTAATCACCGGGCCATTCTTC